TTTATACTTGACAGGGTTTTCTGATTTTACAGTAGCACAGTGCATCACTAGGGACCAATGAAGCCTTTTTTGTGCCCAAAAGGCAAACAGATTATTTCTGAAAGTTGTGTTTTGTTTCATGTTTGCTCAGTATATCTTCTGCTGCCTGGTCAAATGGCTTTGAGTTACTTGTGTGCACTACCATCAGCTGTTACCTTCTGAATGTATTGGTTACATTCATTTGTTCTACAATTGCTCAGTGAAATTAGCATTAGTGGTCTCAATCAAAATATAAATCCTTTAAATGCTTTTGGAGTATTAAGCTCGAGTCAATTATGTTTTAAACAGAAAATAGAAATAAAACCTTGTGTTTCTTTCTATGTTTTAATAAATAATTGATTTTTTTCCCTATAGTTCCAATACTTCTTACAAAATCCTTTGTCAGATCATATCTGATTAATGTCTGTCAGGGCAGTGTTCTTAGTGATTGTCAATTGATTCAGTACTGGAAGACATACTCAGGACACAGCTTTTGCAGTGAAAAGCTTTCTATCCTTTATCCCCACAGATGGGGACAGGTCATACCTTGAAAAAGATGCTTGCATCTGCCTGCTGCTCTTTGATGGCACATGCAAGCATAACAGCTTCTCAGCAATATTTCTCCCTAGTTCTGTCATCATAATATTTGTATTAAAGTAGCAGGTCTTTTATGTATGTTTGTTTATGGAAACATTGAAAACATTTATATTGAAAACTTCAAATGGTGATTTCTGTAAGATTTAATTTTTGTCATCACATCTCTACACTTTCCCTATTTGTATGCATTTGTATGCTTTTGGAAGATACTTAAATACTGAGAAATGGACAGCAAATGTGTGACTTTCCTCTCTGAGCTGTGTGCTACATAATCATTTCTTTTCACAGGACAAACTATAGTATAATGATCTGTTTTTTTAGTTTGCTTTTATACATCTTTTTCAAGTATTAAATGGAAATGGATATTTACAGCGGTTTGTCTGGCCGTATACTGTTCTTTCATGGAAACAACTGTAATATACTATTTATTGCTAGGTTCTTGTACCTGTCTACAATGTGCATTATTTTATGTAGTGAGGCCACCATTTAAAATTATATGGTTTCCTGAAATAGAAATGGCATTTTCAGTGGCCACTAACATTTATGATAGACTATAGAGCATTTATTCTCTGAAGGAAGCAACCATATACAACAGCAGTAACTGATTTTGTGAGACTAAAATTGTTTCAACTTCTTAAAATTAAAATTTTATTTGCAGTTTGTTAGCATTGCTGTCTCGCAATGCTGGGGCCCTGGGTTAAATTTTTGGGGCATTATCTGTGTGGTGTTTGGAAGTTCTCTCCAAGTTTTTGTGAGTTTCCTCTGGTGCGTGCGTCAGTGTGCCCTGCAGTGGACTGGCATCCCATCCAGGGATCAAATCACTTTACAGGTAATGGGGACTCCCCTCCACCGCCACCAATGTGCAGCATCCACCTGAATGGATGGAATTTAGTGTATACCAGTGGTATATGGTATATAACATATAAAGTTTTAGCCAGCAGCCATATCACTCTGTAGCTCACAGGTGGCAGCCCACTGAAGCTAAGCAGGTGTGAGCCTGGTCAGTACCTGGATGAGAGACCTCCTGGGAAAAACTAAGGTTGCTGCTGGAAGTGTTTTAAGATAAGATCATTTTTGTTGGCCATATACAATTTCTTGTATTAGGAATTTGTCTTTTTGCATACCCCAATTTGCTCTCCATAAGAAACATACAAGGAGAAAAGCTTGGGGTCAGAGCGCAGGGTCAGCCATTTATACGGTGCCCCTGGTACAATTGGGGTTAAGGACCTTGCTCAGGGGCCCACCAGAGTAGGATTCCTCTGCTGGCCGCGGGATACGAACCAGCAACCTTCTCACAATGGGTGCAGGTCCTTAGTCACTGAGCCACCTGTTGGGTGCAGTCTGTGTGGGTCCTTTTGTCCCAGTTTAGTGACGGGGACACTATACTGTAAAATAGGCGCCGTCCTTTGGATGAGATGTAAAACCAAGGTCCTGACTCTCAGAGGTCATTAAAACTCCCAGAGTGGTTTTCAAGGAGTAGGTGTATAACCTCAGCATCCAGGTCAAATTTCCCATTGGCCTTTACCAATCATGGCCTCCTTGTAATCCCCATATGTGAACTGGCTTCATTACTCTGTTCCCCTCCCCACTGATAGCTGATGGGTGGTGAGTGTACTGTGCGCACTATGGCTACAAGCGCATCATCGAGGTGGAGGTGGTGGAGGGCAGTCCCCATTACCTGTAAAGTGCTTTGACTGTAGTGTCCAGAAAAGCGTGGTATAGTTGTAAGCAATTATTATTATTATTTTTTATTATTAAAGTTGGTGTGGTGTGATTAAATTAAATGGACCTGGTGTAGCAAAACATTAAAATCAATATTACATTGATACAATTCATAATTTAATTTTTTTTGTGCCTTGTGACTATATGAAATGGCTTCATGACATTATGAATGTGTAGTATGTAGTTTGCATTGACAGTTTCTTTCAACAACAGTTGAGGTGGCAGAATGAGGAGATAGGTCAACATTCAACAGGGAGGCTCATTCACTCAGTGGACTCATTAGACAAAGCATGGAGAGAGCCTGACCATTAATAAAATGCAAAGGAACAAGTAATAGGTTTATTCCATGCTGAAAAAAAAGAAGAAAGAAAAACACAACGTTTCGGTCGTGGAGCCTTCTTCAGGTGTGAGAGAGACAAGGCAGTAAGCAAAGGTAATGTAGCGGGAGAACAAAGGCTGGGAGAGAGGAGGAGCGAGAGGCGGGAGCAGAGGACAGAAAGAGAGGCCAATCAAGAGGTGTGAACATTCAAAAGAAAAGTAGTCTGTCGTTAGGAGAAGGGGGAAGGTGTGATCCTAGCTGCAGGATAATTTTGGTTTCTGTAGTCTTTCTGATGTATGAGTTCGGAAAACTGAGTGCAGTCATGTTCTCATTCTCAAACTTCCTAGCAGAGATCTAGTGCTCATGTCTAGAATTGGCTCAGTTTTCTGTTGCCAGGGTTTTAAATGAAACAAAATTTGCCTCAATGCATTTCCTTTTTTCATGTAACATACTGATCTGACTAGGCAACTGTTTCAAAATAGTTCTTGCTGTCTGCTTTTATATTATTGTAAATCGTGGCCTCTTGAGAACTTTCAAAGGAAGGTGTTCAGGTGTTTTATCATTCAGTACTGCACTCTATTGTCTTGTCAGAAATAAGAGTTTTATTTAATATTTAAGGCTGAATTTCTTTTGCTTGCATACAGTACATATGAGTGCTTCACACTTCCCTATTTCAATTCGATCAATATTGAGGAGAACAGTCGTTGAATGTTTAAAATTGTAAAGAAGGCTCCACAGCTGAAATGTTGTGTTTTCTCTCTTCTCTTTTCAGCATGGAATAAACCTATTACTTGTTCCTTTGTAAAATATTATAATTGAATTTATATACGTGCCATTTTAAGCATTGAAAAACTTTATTTGAGCCTTTTTTTCTATGCAGTGAGTTTCAAGTGTGCAGTACAGAAATATTTCCCAAGTCTAGAAAAGTGCCACACACACTTGAATGATTTTAACAATAACAGTTTTTGGAAAGAGTACTGCTTTGTGCTTTATGGCTGAATTTGCCCCTTATGGAAGCTTAAAAAGCCAAAAGGTTAAATCTTTAATAATGGCACTCTAAACCAATGATATGTCTCTTCATCTTCTGTAGTTCTGGTGCATTTAAATTCAGCCTACATTTTATATACACTGGCCAGCATCAGAAATGGAACTCTGTTGTATTTTATTCGAGAGCTGTGGTGTCCAGTCCTCTTACTGGCAATTTTGAATTTCCAGATCGATTATAACCGTCTTAGGGAAGGCTGGGTTACATCATTAAAAAGGTTAGGTCTCATCGTTAGTTGTATATCCACAGTAAATTTTAAGGTAAGGTTTGAAGTTTGTAATAAAGTTAGTGTAATGCTTGGTCTTTGGTTCCAATTAGGGATGGGTTTGGGTTGTGGCTTATTTTAAAGGTTTAGCGAGTTGAAGATTTTGTAATTGCATTTTGATCTGATTAGGTTCAGAATTAAGTGACTTAAGGGTAAGATTTAAGATAGATTAGCGTGACTTTACATGTGCTTGGATTATGATACCATTGTTTAAACTTACTTTATGTTACTTGCATAGATTCCTGCAACCTGCCCAAGAGCACAAATGTTCTTTATCGTATTTCTTAGTCGAGGGATCTGTGATATGAAAAACATCAAAATTTAAGAAACCCACCTACTTGAGTAGGCAGCTCACATTGCATTGTCTGGCACTGCTTACGGTTGCCTTACTCTCACCGCCTTCGTCCAGATTGTACTAATGAACTGTTTCGCCCTTCTCCTTATTTGTATTGCTCTTTGGGAATACAGATTAATTATAGAATGTGGTGTGTTTAACAAATTACTAAACGCATACTATTTGCTATTATTAATGCGGATTTGCTTGTACGTTTGCAATGTTTTGGTTATTTCTAACTTTGTGTTTTTCCAAATGCAAACAGTGTGTTTCTGGTACTTTTAAATGCACTTCAATTGATTGTTCTGCTGTACAGGCACAGATATTATTTTCATTCCCCTTTTTGTTTTTTTTAAGTTTTCTCTATCTGTTCTGCTACTTTGTAAATAATAATTCTCTCCCACAGATGCACACGTTCAAGAAACTAGCGAGTGGAATCCATTCAAAAAGAAAGTGGAATGACAGATTTAAAATGAGACTGATTGTTTAACAGCTGTAACAGCTGGAGTTGACTTACTTCCGGTCTGCTGAGACAGCAGCAAAGTGCGCTCCACTGTTTCTTTTGCGTTTCATCACACTTGAAAAAGATGATGTATGAGATGGTCTGCATAGTTCTTCATTAAACAGGTTCGGAAACTGCAAACAATGACTACATATAGCATATAAACTATGACCAAATGCTCTCATCCTTTTCCTGTAGACGGCCTGTGTTCATCCCAGACGATGGCTGAACCTGCAAGAGTACCAGAGCAAGAAGCTGATGCAGGACTATGGTGTGGCCGTGCAGAGGTTTTTTGTGGCTGACACTGCCTCGGAAGCCTTGGAAGCTGCCAAAAGGCTAAGTAAGTAGGAGCAGGAGTATATAAAGGCTCATCTTTTCTGAGCCGGGTCCTTGGTGGTCTTGGTGGCTTGCTCCTGCACTTTTTCTCACCCCCCACTATGAACCAAAGGGGCATTCCACAGAGACACACCACTGTTACTCACTAGGATGAATCAGTGGAGAACACTCTCAAAATCAAGGATAACTCAGTATCATTGACCGCATTAAGCTAAGGTATTTACAAAATATTGGTGGATGTTCAAGACTAGAAATGGAAAAAAAAAATAGCTGAAAGCATCAGGCTCCTGAGCATGATCAGGTGTTACAAGTTTGACTCTGGATAATGGTACTAGCCAACACAAAAAATTACAGGTTCAAATGACAAAATAATACAATCACAATGGTTATTCTTTGGATTATGTTCTGATATTCATATATATTCCTAAATAGGAATTAGATTATGTGCTTCTTTTGTAAAGATAGATATGCAGTATGTTTTTGCAGTTTATTTTGGTATTTACATTGTTCCAAATATTTATTGGAGTAAAAGTAAGTGAATGTCATTATACATTATAAATTAATAGCTTCTATGTAAATATTAAGTGTTTCCTTATACTGAATTTATTAATTGGTATAGTACAATAGCAGAATATTGCCAGTCAACAACTGGCAATTTGTTGCCAGTTGTTGACTGCCACACCATCACAATTATAGGAAGTGATACAATCATAAAGTTTTACATACAGTATGTGGTAAACACTGTGGTTTCTGGTAAGGAAATCGCATATGACAAGTCCACAGAAATCAAAATTTTATCTCATGTAGATGATTCCTATTGACACTTTGTAGCCGAATCTGCTGAAGAGTGGAAACAAAATTGATGAATTTTTGTCTTCTCTCTGTTCCTTAAGGAGATTATCATCAAGTATTGTTTGTTCCTGTAGACAGCTTTTTGGCTCTAGACCAGTTTGTCAATTACCGATGTTGCTTCTCCATACTTGCTGATTATGCTTTGGATATCAAAAATTTGAAAATCCAGTGACATAGGTGTTTCACTCGGTATTTTTTTTTCTGTAGTTAAAAAACATGATGGTATAGTGATCTTCTCCTTAAATTTTTATCGAGTTTGTTTTATATTGTTTCTCCTAATGGGTGTGCATCTTTCATTACAAAAGTAGAAACCTTTTATCTTATGAATGAGTAGAGAGGAACAGGTGTTCGAAAAGCTTAGTTTCATCTCACGCAAGCTAAGGCTTATTAATAACAATGTTGCTACAATAGCATAAAACACTGACTAAATTTTTTATGCTTGTAAAGTATATGTCTTGAATCTGTTTGACTTTTTCTTACACAGCAGTGTTTGTTGTGTTCTACACTAATTCTTAACTTTCTTTAATGAGTCTTTCTTTTCGATAATTTTATATTCCCAATCTGACCTCGGGGGAGGTGATTATGTAGCAGCCCATGCTGACTGTTCCTGCTTGTAAAATAAATGAATGTTTTTTAATGTGATGATTAAAATAACGTACACCGAGTGTTACAAGATGGAGGTGTTTGTGTTAAACTTTCATTCTCTGTTCTGAAAACTGAGGCAGCCGCAGTTCTTTTGGAACCAGGTTCTGTGCAAGTGTCTACAGAGCCTAACTAAAATATTCGGACCCTTCATATAGTGTCCGATTTTGTGAGATTGCGAAATGATGCCTACACCGTTTTCTAGACTTAATATTTTATTCGAAACATGAATGCTCAAGCCAAACACATCTATGAGTAAGATGAATTACAGTAGGTGTCAGCAAAAACTAAAGGGAAAAAGCTGAAGTATGGTGATTGCATAACTAGTAAGACCTGTGATCTCAGTATTTGGTGGAAGCACTTTTGTCAGCAATTCTAGCTGAAAGTGATTTTAGGTCTCTGCAAGGGTTTGGTCAATTTTAAGCCCATTTTTCTCGGCATAATTAAGCTCTCACTTTACTTGGGGAATCACTTATGGACAGCAGATTCCTAATAGGATGCAAGTCAAGACTTTGACTAGGTCATCCAAGGACGTTCACTTTCTTGTTCTTTATCCACTCAAATGTAGATTAGGCCATGTGATATTCATTGTCCTTTTTGCCCCAGTTGTAAGTCTTTAGGAGACTAAAACAGGTTTTTTTCTCTAGTATTCTCATCTGATCACAACACCATATACAATTTTGCAGGATCACTCAGGTTTCAACATTGTTTCAAACTCCATGTGGGATATGAGATGGATTTTCCTCTGTGCCATACGGGCTAGCTCTGTGGGGTGACTGGGATATTGTTGACTGAAATATAATTTGTCTCATCTCTACCATTAAACTCTAGCTCTTTAAAAATTGCTGTTGGCCTCACAGTGGCATCCCTTACAAGTTTCCACTTTAGGTGGGTAGCTGCGTCAGCATGCGTAGGCTGCAAAGGAACAAGTAATAGGTTTATTCCATGCTGAAAAAAAGAAGAAAGAGAACACAACGTTTCGGCCGTGGAGCCTTCTTCAGGTGTGAGAGAGACAGGGCAGTAGGCAAAGGTAAAGTAGCGGGAGAACAAAGGTTGGGAGGGAGGAGGAGTGAGAGGCGAGAGCAGCCCAGCTGGCCAGTTTGAAGGAATAGCCTGATCTAAACAGTGTCAGGGTAGTACAGTGCGCCTTCCACTTCTTAATGATTGACTTCACCCTGTTCAAAAGGATGTTCAGTGTCTTTGAAAGTGTTTTATACTCTTCTTTTTGTCTTTGTATTCCTATATCTTTTATTTTTCCCTGAGTTTCTTTGAAAGCTCTTTAGTCTTCAAGGTGGAGTCTTTGCTTGGAATTCACTACCTGACCAAGGAACCTCACAGAAATGTTTTTGTTCTGAAATTATGTGAACCACTATTATTGCACAGTCAGAGTCTGCCCAACGAAGTTCATTTAGGCTTGCCACAGGCTTGAATGGCTTGAATGAATGCAGAAGGTTTTTTATGTAACCAAAAGCAAATGCTATTTCACAGTGTCATGACTGCAAGAGTCAAAGCTTGTAAGGGCCTGAATAAATTTGCAAGGCACTGTATTTAAATTGTTTGATGAGGTTTTTCCCTCCAACATTAGCACCTATAGCACATATCTATAGCAATATAGATCTGCTGCACGTACAGTGAAAGATGTGAAAGATTAAACACACAGCAGTAGTACAGCATTTTTTTCTGCAAAAGTCTTGTCTTAAAATCCAGACTTAAAATATCACTTAGTTCTGTGCCAGAGTAGTGAGGGCGGATGGGCTCTGGCTAGAGGTTTCCAGTGAAACCTGTCGCTACAGCTCAGTATCTGGATTTTCCATCAAAGTACGCAACATCATCTCTCCTGAGAAGAAACAGCTTTGGGCCAAGGGGAAGCTGAGGTGCCCAAGCAAGACGCAGGAAATGAATTGTCTCTGGCTGCTACTGCTGGGCGTCTATGAACATCAAATATATTCTATCTGTTGAGCTTACTTAACCATAAAACCATGAAGCTGACAACTTAATTGGAGCTGCTTCTGGAGAAACGCTTTTGAGGGCAGACTTTATAAAGTGGATCATGATTGATTTTGCTACTTAGCTTCATAGCTTAAATAGTTATTTGAAGTTGTTACTAATAAAAAAGTGAAAAAGGGTGGTGAAAAGATGAGAAAGCATATTATTTTCTTATATTGTATGTTTGAATCTGGTACATATTTAAATTTTATGATTAGTCATTTCTTGAGCCTAAATATTTCTTCTAACAAGCAAAACATTTTTGGGGGCGGGGTTTGTTTATGTAAATGAAGAGTACCTTATCTAGCCTGTTACCTGGTCTGTTCCATTATAAGTAATGCAGTTTGGTCGTTCCTCCCCCAAAAATTAAAATATCTTTTCATTTGCTGAATATGATAAACTATGTGTCGTAAAACATGAAAATTTTAGAGCACAGGTAGGAGTTGGGAAAACTTTAAGTGGCTTTTGCAGTTAAGTAATCTACCTGTCAAAGCAGCAAACCTAGTGCAGGCTACATCAGTCATGTTAAGGGATGTGATCTCACTGTACTACTTCGAATAAGCGGAGGAGTACAGAAAGATAAAAATAACAGTGTCAGTGCCTTTATTTGAAAAAGGAACACATTTTCCAGGATTATTTTTACCGTTAGTTTTAATAAATCTGGTTAAACATTTAAAGAAAGGGACTTTTCAAAGAACAGCACAGCTAGTGTGTCAGTCAGTTTTAACTATTTTTGTGTCTATTAGCTATGGCTTTATTGAACATTGCAGTCACGGGAACATGGTTATCAAAATCTCAAAGCAAATGTTGTTGGGTGTACAAATCAATTTACTGATTTCAAATAAAATGATTGCTTGAATTCACTTTAGTCTCAATTGTTGTTGTGGAATAGCTGTTTTTATACACAATCTAAATGAAGTCCATTAGTATAGCAGTATTTGGACTCTATGAGAGACAAAAAAGCAAAGGATCCAAGGCTAAACTAGGTTAGGAAGGTCATTTAGCTTCCATGGGCTTCATAATGAAAAGTCCCAGAAAATGATGTCTTGTTGTTGTTTTCTGAAGATGGGGCTATTTAAAGATCACAATACTGAACAAAGAAATAATATTAACCATTTTTTGTTTCTTTAGGTAATATGTCATCTAATCAAATACACATCTAGCTTTCAAATATAGGCCAGGCAGCTAACCATTTTTGTCCATAAAATGCAGGTTGAGTAATGAATATAAATTGCAATATTTCTTTTCTGTTTTCTCAAAAAAAGCTCTCTAAATAAAACTCAGAAAATGACTTTTGGCTGCTCTTTGTATCTCATAAACCTGTTGACAGATGCATCTGTTGAATTAATCTTGATGGATTTGCACCAGGCTTTACATTCACATAATACAGTTTTCTTTGCATCTGAGTTATCTCACACATCTGTCACATTTTTTTGTGTTTTTGATGCAGAAATGCACAGTCTGGAACCTGGAAATATTTGGATGAATTACATTTGCCTCAAATGTTGAGCTAGATTGATGGAT